AAGCTGCTCTGAGACTCCGAGGAAGGGGGGGGGGTATATATCCAACCACCACCACCTCCTCCTCCTCCTCCTCTTTACTGCCTACTACTGCCACCCATGCATCCAAAAGCACTATACTAAGGGTTCTTTTTATGACTATGTAATGGGGACAACTCCCTGGGAACTCTAAAATAAATGAGAGCTGTGCAAGAGAATTGCTGTGCAGCTCCGTTTCATTTCAACGGGGACTGGACAGGAGACGTTTCTGGCCGACTGTGCCGTGTGGCGTTTAATTGAATTCGTGCAAACTGCCTCCACTTGGGTCCTCCTAACCCACATTAATTACTCTACCGGCACCTGCTTCTTCTTCTTCTAATACATATATATTTTTATTGTTTGTTTAGTCTGTTACATCGAATGTTTGTAGCTATTTACGGCACCTGCTTCTTGACCACCTGCATACACAGCTTGTCCTTGCAGGGATGCTAATCCACCTGCCTTATATAGGCCTTCCTTATGAGGTTACCTTCCCTTTTCTAACACTTACAAGCCTCTTCCAAATCAAATTAAGATGCCAAATTAAAAACCCAGCAAACTCAAAGCCACAAAGCCCTCTGTTGGTACAAGCCCAGGTCTGGAGTCAGAATGTGCAGTAAACTTTGCATACAACTTTAGTTCCACTTCATTCATCCCTTGCCAGTCCCCAAAAGAGATAAAGGGCAAGAATGGCTGTTCAGAGGTTAAATGTAGCCCCTGTGCGCCCTCATTTCTTCTCTACTTGACAGCAATGGCCGACAGAACTTCCCACTAAACTGATACTAAAAGCGGAACAGCATCTACGTGGCAAATGTCTAAACTGCGGCACGAGAATTATCTGTTCTCCTGAGCAGGGCTTTTTTTGGTAGAAAAAGCCCAGCAGAAACTCATTAGCATAATAGGCCACACCCCTGATAGCACAGCTCATTGGCATATTAGGCCACACACCCCCACTTTACCAGAAGTGTGGTCATCCAGTCACACCCATCTTTTGCTTCTTATTCTGTTTACTTTGTTGTCAAAACCCAGGGCTTTTTTGTAGCAGGAACTCCTTTGCATGTTAGGCCACACGCCCCTAACGTAGCCAATCCTAATGAGTTCCTGCTGTTGGGTGTGGCCTATTATGCTAATGAGTTCCTGCTGGGCGTGGCCAACTCAGGAGCCAGCCGGAACTCCGTTCCTGTGCGTTCCTGCCCAAAAATAGCCCTGCGACATCATTCGCAGCACCTGCACATGGACATGCACTTGGCTCCCAGCTTACCGGCAAGTCTTATAATATCCAAGACAATGGAGTTTGTAAGTTTGTTCAAGAGGCTGGAGCCGGCGGCTTTCGGTTGGACGGCAGCGATGTCGCCTGACCTTCCGATCCCGTGGATCAACCTGAAAACCAAGCAGAAAGATTAATACACACACACGCACACAAAATACACTACAGGTTGGAGTCAGTGTTCCCCTCTAAGCTGAGTTAGTGTGAGCTAGTGCAGTTTTTTAGCCTCTGGCTCACACATTTTTGTCTTCGCTCAGGAAGGATGGCTCCAGAACAAACTAATTTATGCAGTCGTCAAATCGCTCGCTCACAACTTTAATGCCAGTAGCTCACAAAGTAGAATTTTTGCTCACAGGACTCCACAGCTCCACAGCAGTTCCCCCGGGTGAGGTGCAGGGGGGCGGGGCACATGATGAAGCCCCGCCCCCTGCTTCCGCCCGCCTCGCTTCCAGCCCTCATTCAGCCAGGAGGAGGCAGGAGAAGAGGGAGGGTAAGTTGCTTCCTCCCTCCCCGCCTCTCCCCACCCCTGCCTGGGGCCAGGGAGGGCCTTGGCGGGGCTTCCTCGCACTCCCGCTGGCCTTGCAGGTCCACCGCCGGGCCCCTGATGTCAGGGGGTGTGGCATATGCTAATGAGTTATGCTAATGAGTTCCCCTAGCTCTTTTTCTACGAAATGACCCCTGGGTATAACACAGAAAGATGGAGTACTCTCGGTGTCACAGAGAGTACTCCATCTTGACACAGAGAGTACTCCGTCTTTCTGTGTTATACCTCTGAGGATGCCAGTCACAGTTACTGGCGAAATGTCAGGTCCTACAATGCCAAGACCACGGCCACACAACCTGGAAAATCTACAGCAACTAATGAACAACTGATGAACAAATAAGCCTTCCACGTTCTTAGACCTCTTCTTTGCAAAGAAAAACCCTCAAGAAGACTGTTCTCTTCCCGACCTCTCATTCTCCTATCACTTCCCTGTCACCCCCCACCAAATTATTTTCAGCACCGTGTAAGTGGAGGCAAAATTACATGGGTATTAAGAAAACATATGCAAATGTTCGGCTTGGCTTCAGTATCTGGGTTCCTTCCCCATTACCCTTTGCAAAGAATCCTGACTAGGAGGAGAGCAGTAAAGACAGACTGTGTGAATAACGGGCAAAATAATGGTGGTGGGAAGACCTTGAGGACAAGGAAGAAGATTCTGAAACAACAACACCCCCCCAAACCTGGGTCTGATGCTGCTCAGACATGACAAATCAGATTCTGTGGCAGGCTGACAGCGGCACAGAGAGGGAAGCCCGGCCCCTGAAGAGACTGACAACGTCTGGCTGCCATAGATGGAAGGCTCTCTCTGAGAGGAGACAACAAAGGGAGGGGTTCCTTCGGGGCCATCACACGGGCAGGGGACCCGAATGAAAGGGAGCTAGGCATTTAGCCTTTTGGATATGCGTACTGCCAGGGGTCATTTCCTGCAGGAGTGCACAGGAGTGGAGCCCAGGGGGCGGGCACATGCAACAAGCCCCACCCCCTGCTCCCAGCAGCCCTCAGTCAGAGCAAGAAGCAGCCAGGTAAGCTGCAGAGCCCCCCCCCAGCCCCCCAGTCCAAAACAGTCCAGTGGCACCTTTAAGGCCAAGGTTTATTTAGGTACAAGCTCTCCCTCCTCTGCGAGAACAGATCTGCACCTCCCCCCCCCAATAGCTAGCAATCCAAAACAGTCCAGTGGTGCCTGAGCGGTGGGTGTTGCCTTCTGACACACTTCCGGTGATGTCAGGGGCGTGGGATATGCAAATAAGTTATGCTAATGAGTTATGCTAATGAACTCCTGCATTTCTTTTCCTACGAAATGACCCCTGCGTACTGCTAAGCTAACGGGTCACAGTGTTCTTCATGGTGTTTTCGTAAGCTGCCTTGGAGGCTATATAAGGTGAAAGATGGCAGGAAAAAAAATTATATCACCCTCTTAGAGGGCAGGGCCAGCTTAAAGCACAGGTTGAAGCTGCCGTTTTCCTTAGATTCTTAGCTTGCAGCGCTAGCCTAAGCAGAAGTCAGTCCTGCTGTATTAAACTGGGCCTACTGGCCGAGGCTAGCCTGAGCTTGTCAGATCTAAGAACCGAAGCGGGGTCGGTCCTGGTTAGTATTTGGATGGGAGACCACCGAGGAGGTCTAAGGTTGCTACGGAGAGCCAAGGAATGGCAAGCCACCTCCATTGGTTTCTCGCCTTGAAAGCCCTATGTAAAGGTCTCCCTTGCTTGAAAGGCCAGTTGAATCCGACTCAAGGGTTGCGGTGCTCCTCTCCGTTTCCAAGCCGAAGAGCCAGCGCTGTCCGAAGACATTTCCGTGGTCATGTGGCCGGCGTAACCTGACGCCGAGGCGCACGGGACGCTGTTCCCTTCCCACCGAAGTGGTACCTCTTTATCTCCTTGCAATGTCTTGCTTTCGAACGGCTAGGTGGGCAGGAGGTATGGGATCACCATGAATCAGCTGCGACTGGACAGCAGTTCTTGCCCTGATCTGGATGGCTCGGGCTACCTGGATCTCATCAGATCTCGGAAGCTCAGCAGGGTCGTCCCTGGTTAGTCCTTGGATGGGAGACCATTGAAGAACTCCAGGGTCGTGAGGCAGAGGCAGGCAATGACAACCACCTCTGAATAGCTCTTGCCTTGAAAACCCTCTGGGGTCGACAGAAGTTGGCTGCAACTGGACGGCACTTTACACACACACACACACACACACACACACACACACACACACACACACCCTCTCCCCCCCCCCACAGGTAAAAAGTTCTAGCACTGCAGCTTTACAACTTAAATGCCAGATGTCCCAATGTGGTAAACAGGCAGTGAGCCAACTGAGCGGATCGCTTTAATCAGGCTAGAGTTTTATCAGCCCAAAACCTAGTTTTGGGGAGCTCCCTGCCCATTTCAGTGGGGTTCTGTGCAAGAGTTCCACGGGAGATCTTTGCCTGCCACTGCAATGTATTCTTCAGACATCTCCACGCTCATGCCGGTAATCCTGTTATGCAGCCTCTGAAAGACCAAACACCTACCCAAGCAGTACAAATCTCACAAGTGCAATGGGACTAGTTTACACATATTTCTGTGCAAAACTCTCACATGCTCAGATCACTTCCGTTTTCTAAACTTGGAAAACACGCTTTCCCTTACTCACCTCCTCTGAACATCCCTTGTACAAATCAGTATTCTTTTTAACGCTGCAGCATCTCACTACAGAGGTGTGAATGTTAGAAAAGCCGGCGATTCGGGAAATTAGAAACACTGACCGAGGCTGGCCACCCTTCTGAATTCCATGGCTGCAGACTTTCTGTCAGTAACCACTTGCCCTGCTTTTCGTCCGGCTCTGCTTATGCAACTCTTGGTTCAGGTGCTCTTAGAGATTACATTAAAACAGTCTCCGATCAAAGAAAATAAAGTACTACGGGAATAGCCTGGAGGTGAACTGATTTTGCGTGGCAAAGAGACCAACCTCCGCGGGTGGTGGACAGTCAGTTCCCGGAGTTTGTGCCACAACTAAGCTGGCTCATCTTTTAAAAGGCGGTTCAGATCTTGTTATCTTCTTGCGGCTAATGACAGCTAATCTCCTAGAATCTGAGCAGGGAAGGTGAATCCTCCACCTCACACACAGACACACAGCTCAGGTGGCTCCTAGGAACCAGCCCAGAGCAAAAGCCCCCCCCTCCAGAAAACCAAGAGGACATACCTTCTGATGACTTGTCACTTCACCTTTGCCGAGCTCTCCAGCAAGTTTAATGTTCTCTTCTTGCAAGGCTGCAAGCTGCTGGGACTTCTCAGCCTCGGCCAGCCTCAGCGCTTCTCTGCAAGGACAAGGGAGCGCATGGTTACCATAGGAACAAGAAGGGCAAGGGAGGGGGAAAAGCAAGGGGGAAATCAGCTTTGCAGCTTGGGAGGAAAAAAAAGGAAGAAGCACGTCGTGTGCTTAATGAGATCTTTAATAAGGCGACCAAGCCCCAGTCCCAATACCTCCTCCTCCCCCTGGATCAATCTTTAAGAACAGATCGGTGGGGGCGTGAGCGTGCCATTGCTTCTGTTTTCTACAAACATACTTAGGAGACCAAACCCTGCCCCGCCTCAAACACATTAAGAGCCGCAACTGAACTGGGTTAAAAATAATTGCACTTATTGCAGATGATTACACTCGGAGGGACACGCGGGTGCCAGGTTTTCCCTCGCCCATTCTTGTAATCTGAAGTTGATGCTTTGGCAACTAGTTCCTACATTGTGGGTGTGGGGGGAGCGCTCTGGACTGAGGCCAGGCTAAAGTGCCCAAGAGACCTTAAGCCAGGGGTGTCGAACTCATTTGTTATGAGGGCCGGATCTGACATAAATGAGGCCTTGTTGGGCCGGGCCATGTCTGTCATAAAATGTAATGCCAGGTACCGGAGATAGAAACTGTATAAAGGACACAGACAAACACAATTAAAGATTTTTTAAAAACTTTAAATAAAACATGTCTCCTGTATACGATTGAGGCAGCCTGGCCAGGAAGCGAGCTCTGGCTGGTTCCCTCCCTCCCCCTGGGAGGAGGAGAGGGAGGAGCCTCAGCCAATGTTTTACCACTCTCTCTCAATCGCACAGGAGAGGCTTGCCTATCTATCTCTCCTGTGTGATTGAGAGAGTCTTGTAAAGTAAGCTGTGATGTAGCGACAGCAGCAGCATAACTGGAAAAGGAAGCAGGAAACAGCCAGGGCCTTGCAGGCCAGATTGTAGCCCTTTGCGGGCCTGATCTGGCCCCGGGCCGCGTGTTTGACACCCCTGCATTAAGCGATATAAGACCAGGAGGAGACCCAGCCAGCTCTCGGATTTCCCAAGAGCATTCCTGGTGGGCCTTGGAAGGCCACAGGCTGGCACGCGCAAGCTGAGCTCAGCGGCTCCCACTGGCAGGGCTGCAAAGGCTCCTCTCCTCAACTTGCTCCAGAGTGGTCTGAACACCCTGGCCCCGTACAAGATGACCCGCAAAGTCACAACCGTGGTTTGCCACCGCTTGAGCAAACGGCTGGTGCTTTAAGTCTGAATTTTAACCCTTGGTGGAGAACAAAGTTTAAGTCCGGGGCACTTTTAAGACCAACAAAGTTTTGTTCAAGGTATAAGCTTTTGTGCGCATGCACGCGAAAGCTTATACCTTGAATTAAAGATAGATCCAGATAGTCAGCTGTGTTGGTCTGAAGCAGGAGAACAAATTTAGAGTCCAGTGGGCACCTTTAAGACCAACAAAGGTTTATTCAAGGTATGAACAAAAGCTATGTATTAATTCTTAAAAGCATACACAAATAATACTCAGCATATGTTCAATGTCAGTACTCAGTAGCATACAGAAAAACCCAGTACCTGAGACAGTGTACACTTTAGAAAGAACAAGGAATATTCCTGGGCTGCAAGACCAGCACAGACACAGCAGCCCCAAACAAAGCCAGGATCATGCACAATTTGAAAAAGTGCGCGTGCACACGAAAGCTCACACCGTGAATAAACCTTTGTTGGTCTTAAAGGTGCCCCACTGGACTCTAAATCTGTTCTACCTTGAATTAAACTTTGTTATGGAGCTGCGGTGGCTCAAGTGGTTAAGATGCTGAACTGGAGGCTGTGGAAGGTCAATAGTTCAGCAGTTCGAGACCCGAGTGTGCCACATGATGGAGTGAGCTCCCGTCTCTAGTTCCAGCTCCTGCCAGCCCAGCAGTTCGAAAGGAAGAAATTGCAAGTAGATAAATAGGTACCACTTCAGTGGGAAGGTAACAGCGTTCTGTGCGCCTTGGTGTTTAGTCATGCTGGCCACATGACCACGAAAACGTCTTCTGACAGCGCTGGCTCTTCGGCTTTGAAACGGAGATGAGCACCGCAACCCTAGAGTCGGACTCGACTGGCTTTCGAGCAAGGGAACCTTTACCTTTTACTCTTAAAAGTGCCCCTGGACCCAAACTTTGTTCCGCTGCTTCAGACCAACACGGCTCTCCACCGGAATCTAGCCCTAGGCAGAGTTTCTGTGACTTTCAACCACCCGATGTTATTTATTCACTTCATTTCCAATGGCTTACAGAATCTTCTTCTCCTCCGTTTTATCCTCACAGCAACCCTGTGAGGTAGGTAGGTTAGGTGGAGAGAGCGCGATCGGCCCCAGGTCACCCACTAAGCTTCCACGGCGGAATGGAGATTCGAACCTGGGTCTACTGATCTTAGTCCTAATCTCACTACTACACCATGCTGGTTGAGGGTCCCCCCTCCCCAAATCCTGTTTTTTTGGGGGGTTTTGCTTATCGCTTCTGTCACTGCTTGGCAAATGTAGCAGGTATTCCACAAGAAACCACAATGGGGAGATGTTCAGCAGCCTGGCAGATGTTACTGAACTATTGTGGCAAAGTGGAAACTGGCAACTTGTTCTCTCCGAGTGCTTTGGGGTGGGTGGGGATACTCATACTCATTCTGCACACTGCTGTACCACCTGCGTGCCAATTGGCTTTCAACTAGGAGCTGCCACCACTAACGCCACCAACATCGTGGCCAGCATTACCATCTATGCTATTAACACCATAAACTTTACAATAACAGAAGCCTGGTGCCTGGGTATTACTGATAGCCTGTGCTCGCCGACTAAGACTGAGATAGATCAATGAGCTGAATACCAACTGAACATACAGAATGTATAAGGCCATCTTTGATAATATGTACCAACTGCTAGCACTTTATTATATTGTAAGTTAGTTTTAATAATTTGTTAAGGAATGGCTGATGAATTGCTTTTAGATGTTTATGATATATATTGTTATTATGTTTTTATGATGTTAGTCGCCCTGAGCCTGCCTCGGCGGGGAGGGGAGGGTACAAATTTAAGCAAATAATAAATAAATAAACAAATTGCTCCCCAACGCTGAATAGCTAGGGAGGAAAACCACAGGAACCAGCACCTTGCCAGCAGGTACCCGATCCACTCACTTTCTGCATACAGCGCGTGGGCAAGCACTCAAGTCACCCAAACCTAACCAGTAGCGGACCTACATTTCTGGGACCCTGAAGCTGGGGGCCCCTTCTCAACCAGCAACAACAGGGCAACAGTGCTGCAAGCCCCCCGAGAAAATTTTGAAATGTGACCAATTACAGGGACATTTTGAGGCCATATGAAATGAGTATAAGGGCATATTCTAAGGTCAATATTAAGTATTTCAACCCCACTGGCTTATGATTCTGTCACTAAAATAGCCTTATTCTAATAACAAATACTTTAAAAAAAAACCTCCATCAATTCTGTTGAAAAATTCACTCAAAGGAGAAGTTGCTTCAGAGCCCCTCCAGGATTAGAGGCCCTGAAGCTTAAGTTTCATTAGTTTCATAGTAGATCCACTCCTGACCCGAACTACTCACAGGGCTCCCACAGACTTCTCCCTATACGTATTATCTTGCCCTCCCTCCTGGGAGCTCAGGGTACATGCTGGGTTCTCCCCCTACCCATTTTTGCTCTGCAGTGCCCCTGTGAGGCTGGTTAGGATGTGAGAAGGTCACCAGCCTAATCTCACCCCATGAAAAACTGTGATAAACTCATAATGCACAATGGAGAAAGGTTAAAGCACTTGGGGCTCTTTAGCTTGGAGAAACAACAGCTGAGGGGTGACATGATCGAGGTTTATAAGATTATGCACGGGATAGAGCAGGTAGAGGTACTTTTCGCCTTTTCTCACAATACAAGAACTCGTGGGCACTCCATGAAATTGCTGAGCGGTCGGGTTAGAACAGATAAAAGGAAGTACTTCTTCACCCAAAAAGTGATTAACACGTGGAATTCATTGCCACAGGAGGTGGCGGCGGCTACAAGCATGGACGGCTTCAAGAGGGGATTGGATAAACATATGGAGCAGAGGTCCATCTGGTGCTATTAGCCACAAAGTACAGATAGGAGGTCTGGGGCAAGTGATGCTCTGTATTCTTGGTGCTTGGGGGGGGGCAACAGTGGGAGGGCTTCTAGTGTCCTGGTGGACCTGTTGATGGCGCCTGGTATTTCTGGCGACTGTGTGACACAGAGTGTTGGACTGGATGGGTCATTGGCCTGATCCAACACTGGCTTCTCTTATGTTTTCTTTTTTTATTTTATTTTTGGATCCCCCTAAGGGAAATTTTTAATGGTTTTTTTTTTTTTTTTTGCAAACTACAAACTATAACTGAAAATATAGGGAGGGGGACTCCATCTAAGGAGAAAGAAAATGTTATTTTTAAAAAGCTAATAATACAATGAACATAGTCGGTTATGCTAAATTACTTATCGTTTAACTATCCCTTTAACTGTTTAAAGAAATCCCCAGAGCATCCCAAAGTTATTTCAGCATTTTTTTCAGGCACAAATCAGAGTCCTTCAGCCCTTATTTGTTCTTATCTTTTCTAATCCTCAGTTTATACGAACTTTTGGGGGCAGCCGCCCCCTTTTCAGAGGGGGAGTCCTTGTCTGACAACCCCGAGCCCAACTCGCCATCAGATTTGATTTCTTCTTCTTCCTTTTTGTCCTCATCTGGTTCCCCGAGCTGTGTTAGCAGAAAGTCACGTGCTTTAAAAACAGAGTCAATCTTTTCTTTTTTATCGTGGAGTTTGAAAATGACGCCTTCTGGAATTAGCCATCTGTAACTGATTCAATTTGTTTGTAAGAAAAGGATAAATTGTTTATAGTTCTTTCTCTTCTGTCTTATGTCAAATGGAATATCTTTTAAAATCCTGATGTCGTTGTCCCCAATTTTCAAGGGTGCTCCCGTAGTTGCTTTCAAGATAGCATCTTCCACATGTCTCTTCGAGAATCTGACTACTATTTCCCCAGGCAGATTAT